TTTTTTTTGTTTTGGTTTCGAGTCTCATTCACTTTGCTTGTGGCATTCAGTGCGACGACTATCTTGAGTCGTCCCCGGATTTCGAACAATTTGCATTGAAATTCATCATCATTTATTTTTTAAGAACAGAGGGAGTTTCCACTCGATGAAATCGCACGTTTAAATGCAATAGTTAAAGAACCTGTAGATAATCACTCTGCGCATCATTGCTATTTAATTTCCCGGAATTGCATTGTTGAAATTGAATTTTGCCGTTCCGATGAGGGCTCTTCTCTTTTCTGCATACAGCGTGTCGGTATTCAATCAAATTAAGTGCAGAAACACTCACCGTTTGAGAGCGGAAAGGAGAAGTAAAACGACAGGGCCACTTTCAGAAGTTTCTAATTAATTATTTGAGCACGGACGTCTTAACTGGGCAGCCGGTAGAACCTTTAGGTATCGGCGAATTTAAGTGAACCTAGCTATTTAATTAAATATAGATCCCGCGTCCGAAAGGCATCTGCCCAGGATAGATAACGCTCCGAGTTGCAAACTACGATTAGATCCGATGGCTATTGGATGGCTGCAGTTATTTTATAGAGCAGCCAGCTTAGTCTAATCAAGCAAAAACTGAGGGACCCGAACTGGAATCGCGCATTAGTGTTAGAGTAAGACTATAATCAAAATGTTTTTAATATTATCAATATAAGTTCAGCCATATATTATGGACCACCGTGTATTACAAAGCCATATTGCTTAGGCAAGCATAATTTTTTGTTTATCGCGAGAGCAACCTTTTTTAGTTAGTCCTCGTCACAGATTACAGAGTATAGATTGGACAGTTTTGCTTTGCCGCCAAAATAATTTTGCTAAATGCACCCACACAGAGGCGTCGTCCAAAAATCCAGAGGATCAGCTGATTGTTTGCATGCGTTTGTTTTGTACATATGTCCCTAAGAGGACTCTGAACATACAGTATTTTACAGTTAAGATTATTCCGTCAATTTTCAATCTTTCAGTCTATCAATGTTTTTAATTTGCAATCATAA